GTTTTTGTGGAGGCATAAAAAGATGGCTTATTCTATGTGTTACAGAGCATATCTTATTGTATCTAAGTAAACGACTGGTGAGAACTATTCGAAACATTGACATAAGAAGAGAACTTGGGCACTATGTTAGTGTATAATTCCATCATAGGGTATATTTGTTTGACGGAGTCACAGAGTGGTACAGTATTATTTACTGATAATGCTTCCAGCACAATTTATTGCTCATAATCATACCAAGCCATTCACATAGTTTTCTATTTTTGTTTATTCGAAGTATTACTTTTTTTCTTTTATGATGGACAGCAGTCACTTTGTGAACAAAGCTGAAGTATTCAGGGCGATACACCCCATCCTAATGATTTCCATATTCGCACACTGAGTGTAGCTAAGATTGTTTGCATTCAAGCTAATAATCTTACACTGTTTTCAGAAAAACCTACCTGCAGCCAGTTATATTCCCATTCTCTCTATACTTTTTTATGCATCTTACTATTTTTCTGCCATCAATTCCCTAGTTTTAATACATTGCCAATAAAACTCGTTTCATTATAATTTATAATAGGCTAATCTTCCTATACCTACTACACCTGTTCCAGCATCTGTTCATATAACCAAAACGGTTCCAATTCTCCAGTTTCCAGATATTTCTTCATTATTCATGATCACTACTGTTATCATTTTCACTAAACATTGCATATTTTATACCCATTTTATCGCCTCAATAACAAACTACGATGACTTACTTATAAACGGCATGAATCTGTGAAGTTGTGTATTGTAGTAAGGCCTGTAATTCGCTTACATGTTTTCTTCTGAAACTACTTACTACTAACCTCTTCAGCATACTACTCTCATTCTATGTGGACCTTGGGGAAGTAAATCACAAGTAACTGTCATACTTTAAGTTAATAGTTATCGACAATAGGAAGAGAATAATATGTGAGTACTCTGACGCTGCATGTATCAACCTTTTTGTCACCTGCCAAAAATACAAATAACACTTGCTGAATTCTACTGTCAGATACGACATTTTGAAGTATGTGACATATCACCATTATACAACACCAAACAAAATATATAACAAGTATAATAAACAATCTGATAGGAATTTCATTAGTGGATTTACACTGCTATCTGACTGTTGGCACTATGATGTCCAGAAATGAAAAGGTTAAACTGCACATTCATTTCCAGAAGAAATGGATATAAACATCTTGCTGACTGTTTTAGTTGCTTCGTTAACCAGAAGGGAAGAAAATATTAGTCTTTTAAAACAAATATATTCATTGAATCCCATATGAGTGCCAGGTTCTTCTTATTTTATGTCTATATTTAGGTCATTAAATATCCAGTGTGATTTCCACTCATTATTAATATCAGAATTCGGTTTCATGATGTAATGTATATTTGTCAATTAAGCATTTTTTTGAAGCAACTTAGTCTCCAACAAATATGAACCATCTATCATTCAATCTTCCCTCATGTTTCTGATGTTTTTACCAATCCCTCTTTAATATGATGAACTAGAAGTTTTTTTGTAAAAGCCGTGTATACTTTAGATGATGGCTTCAGTATTTTTAAATCCAATGAATTAAAAGTGTTCCCCCAAGGTATATCTGTCAGCGTCGAACGTGTCACAGTGAGAATCAGACAATGATATATATATATATGTGCCATATTAAGAAAGTTGTAGCAAAATAATATTTATGGAGTTTGATGGTTTGCTAATTATCTTGACGTCATAAAACAGTTGTTAATGTACTGCTGGTTTTTAGTCTACCGAATCATTTCATTATCTGGTACGTGTCAGGAACTTAATGATACAATACGTCACATGTTTTAGGAATACCTTTCACTATGCGCTAGAGATACTTATTTAATCTTTTTGTTAAACATATTTGTTAGGAAGGAATGACCAATATATGTCAACAAAAACATAGACCATTCAAAATTACGGTTTTAAAGTAAACTACCGAACACTGACGTAACTCCTCATATTTGTCACTTTTTCCTTTTTAAAACTGGAAGAAACACGTAGACGTGTGATTTTGGAAGAGTTATCAGAATGGCTATCGAGGAGTGCGAAACTACAAGTTACGCTGAAAGAATGTATCGGTTTCGAAAAGTAATTCGAGTCGCTTAATCAACCCTAACCTTAACCTTCCTCTAAATAACTCTAACGCTAAACACCTCTGATCTTCCTGTAACTCAGTAGGAATCTACTCCTAACCTATTCCAACCTTAATCCTAATTTTAAAATAACAGGATATCCTGTTTGATGTTCCCTCATCGCTTTCATCATATTTAAGGAATACAGTATCTTTCACGTGGTTTCAGTAACTTGCTCTGTATTTGAGTTTCAAGGTCATTGGTGTGTCAGCCTTCTAGGATCATTTTCGTTTAAGTAAGCCCTGATGTTTACGGCGCATGTTTAAAATACAATTAAATGAATTCATTTTAAATGTGGATGTATGATACAAGAATTCTAAGAGTTCCCATCTTTTAAACGCATATCTTGGTTAAATATCAGTTTATAATGTTTCAAGCAACATTCAGTTGCTGTTGCCGACTAAACTTGACTTCAGAAGACACATCTGTTTAAATATTTAGCTCCGGTTGCAAAACAGATTGGAAGCTTATGGATGTCGCTTATATACAGCGATAAAAACAGAATATACACACAGGTTCTTCAAGCACATGGTAGGTGTAATCAAGTTTACATATCAGTCAGAAACTCAAGAAGCAGAGCTTTCAATGTTAGATAAGATCTGCAAAGAAATAATTTGGTAGGTCGAATAGTAACATCCACAGCCAACCAATAGATATTCACACATTTTCAATATATGAGAGTATTGGTGTATACTATTGTTTTGGCCTTATAACGATGAACATATCTTTAGTCACAGGAAAGCAGATTTCTTTATTGATTCTATTTTAATCAATGGGGATTAATATGAAAATGACATAAAGACTTTTTTAATAGGGGCTCATATCTAAAACCAAGTAATAATACTGCTGCATTTCAGTGATTTCGCTGACGAAAGGAAATTTAAGTGAAGTTGCTGAATCTGTTACAAGGATGACATCTTAGTCAGCTGTGATCGGTTCAGTTACATGTTCATTTGTTTCTCACTTATTCACACCAACTAGAAGACATTAAAGTTGTTTCTTAATAACCGAATTCAACTTTTGTGTAAATGGGTGGCCAGTCTGTAGTTGTGTGTTTGTAAAGTATCTAATAATAACATGAATTTTTACTGTTCTATAATCCGGTAATAGGGCAGTTGTACTTATATATATATATATATATTGTTTATATCGTAATGCAATTTGTCATACACATGACATTTTTCTGTCAATGCATGAAATGTCTTTTTCCAATTTCCTTTAATATCGCTTTTTAACTTCTTCATTTTACCTTTTTTTCGTGCCATGTATTAATATTTTCAGGTGTACTTTACACGTATTGAATTTCTATCTCATACAAAACAATTTTTAAGGTAATAATCAACTGAAAGTATCTCACAGATGATATAATACTAAACTTTACAGCTATACATCATACGTATCCTTCATTCAGATCACATTGCAAGCAATAATGTATTTATTGGAAAAGTCAGAGTAAATCAGAAAAGTTATCCAAGTAAAATGATATTAGGGCAATTGATGAAAAAGCACTAAAGCACTATATGATCATTTCTTTCATGCAGAAGCATTTATTAGACAAAGCGGTCTACTTGACGCCATTTATACCGTCGAAAATGCAATAAATTGTTGCTTAGTAGCTTAAAAGGTTTATCCTGAGAATTGCTGCTTTTATTACTGGGAGCAACTTTTTAAAATTTTAATCAGTTTTCAGGTCTAATTTCGTCTTGGTCATAGTTTCAGTTAAGGCTAGCTATTTTAAATGTACCGAAATACTTTTTACTTTGTTATTTATGAAGCAGTGGGATATATTCAGATAAATTCACATTTAACTTTGCTATTAAGTAGGCAGTCAGGTGCACTGAAAACATCTTTTTTGAAACATGGACACATCATATAATAAGTATTAATAGTAATATATTGCAAATCTCATGAAATCGCCTTACACTTCGTCATTGTCGTAGTGATACGGTTGTCCCTTGATACCAATATGTGATCTGTCCAAATAAGGATTTTGATTAGGTAAATTCAGCAGGTTTCCTAAGTTAAACTTAGTCTTATCTAAATATTTACATAAACTGAGAGGGAGTTCTTATTTGGAATCGATATTTCAGGGTGTGTAATACTCAACAATAGTTAAATATAGAGTTATTTTAAATTTACATGTGTTTATTGAATTTTACCAACTTCAGTCAGATTTCATTGCAAAGGAATTTTAAAAAACATAAGAATATCAAGTAGATGTGCCAGGTGGGTCAAGCGGAAGAACATTATCTTCACTACGGACTGTTTAGAATCAAAGCGACCTCACAAAAGAGAATATTAACCTTGCAGTATACGCCATAGTCGGAGATCTTTAGAAAATGAAAAGAAGCACCATGTTTTTTGTCATTATTTTCTCAATTACTACTTTCAATAATGCGTCGGTGGCACAGCAGTTAGGAATCTCGCTGACCATCCACATAGTTCGAGGTTCGATCCCCTACGGATCCTCACCTGATATTAATGGTTAGCCTGCAAAAGTGGGGCTATCGATATCACATGCCAAAAATTCCATACATGTACCAAAAATACGATGTGGAATCAAGCTTTAATCAAAAAAATATATATGTATCGCATTTTATCAAAAGCCTGAATATATTCATTTTCCTACACGGAGGATAGGATACTTTTTTCTTAAATACTTCTTGTTTAATTGACTGTCCAAAAGAAAGACTTTATTTATAAAAGAAAATGGGATAGACCTTTCAAATGCCATTGATTTAATAACTTTTAAAGAGACTTACATTCAAGATTGAATGTATTTTTACAATATATATTTAGAAACTTGCATATAAGTAATCAAAAAGACTCACTTGATTTCAAGTTTGTATCCGGCTTCCCTTTAACACCAGCAACATTAGAATTAGTTTCCTCGTTTTCGTTTACTTGATCTGCCTTCATTTTGGATGATTTCGGTTTTAGGTTTTCTGGCTCTTGTTTCACGGGTTCTTCTTCTTCTTCTTTCGGTAGTAATAATATCCAGTCAGCCAGTCCTAGCTCACTGATTTCCTTACAGAACTGAGCATTCTTCTCTAATAAATCCTGCGTGTATTGTTATTATTGATGATTAGGTCAGTTGGTGTGTTTTCGGCCATTTTGTGTATGAATTTAGTATATTATAGAGAAAAAAAGGAATATTATTAATAATAAGCATAAGCATGAAACTGATATGATAACGAACGAGAATTATTTTTTAATGCGCTTTAGCTGCCTGCTTATACCAATGTGGGGTATTTCATCAATCAAGTTCACAAAAGCTGTTCTCAAGAGACTTCATAATTGCTTTAATTTTCAAAGTGTGTTTGCTAGTGCTTATTTGTAGAGGGGGTTGATTGCTTCATGTATTTTTCCAGTTTACCTGATGGTTTTTAAATTATATACGAAAATTGTAATTATTTCCTTTGTTTGTTTTTTCTGTAATGATAAACAAATTTTAGAAATTTCTTCTGTCAGTTTTTCACTTATTATTATTGGAAATATTTTCACAAAAGTAGAAAATAATTTCCTTTCTAGCCATAGGCTTTCTCCAGCACCAATTGATAGTGTTGTGATTATTATTGTGTACGCCGTAGTAAGCCAATCACAATTACCGTTTGTTTCATCCAACTGGACATATATTATTACCCTTGAATAATCCTAACACTATGATTATTATTATTACAACTATTGCTACTATTGTTGATGCTTCTTCCACCACCATTCTACGTGTCGTATACTGTGTTAGTTGTTTACTTTTACCACTGAAATGACCCTTAAAAAGAGACCGTTCATATTAGTTGTGTGTACAAGTGCGTGGAAATATTGACAGGCATATTTATGCACCTGTGTGTGTGTGTGTGTGCGTGTGTACAAAGAAAATCTGCATGTCCTGAAAAAAAAACTTTTTTTAAAACTAGATAATCAAACTGTAATTAATAAAGTGTTGCGAAGATATTTTGACTGAAGAGAAATCATGGGAAGAAATGAAAAATAAATATTACATTCTAGTACTAATCGGAGGAGAAAAAAACGTCACTCTTACATATTTATTGACTTTACGCATGTTTTCGTTATGTCTTGATTTAGGATTATTGCCATACAGTGGTTAGAGTTTTGTAAGTGCTTCTAAACGTTTTTCAAGATATCTGTCTTGGCTGTAGTAACTAATTTATCTCTAACTTGTTCACATTGGTCCCTTAAAGATGTTTTTTCCGTGCTTCAGTTTGCTTCTTTATTTCTAACTCATCTTACGTAACAGAAAATTCTTAAAGTTGATTCCTCTGTTCATTGTTTGTACAGTGAATCTGTATAATAGTAAACCATTTATAAATTACCTGTGTTCTTTAAACAGGAATGGCTGATTCCTCAGAAGTACCACATGAAGAAGAAAGAATCTGGGATTAATACTCTCAGGGAATTTTCGAAGCCGAGTGTATATTAAGCTAAGGGTATATTTTCGTGAAAAGACAAGAATAAGCTGACTCAGTTTGGTTTACGGCTAGCACTTTTCTGATATTAGTTTACGATAAAATCCAATTATGCATAATTTATTCACTCTAGAAACAGTCAGTGAATCGAAAAATTTTGGCTGGAGTAAAAATCTTCAGAAGTAATTGATTCACAATAAGTAGAATGAATTGTAGTATTCAAACTCCTACATACTGTCCTGTAACCAAGTCGTTTAAATTCTAACGAAGTAAAATGGAAACCTCATGGGTTCTTGTATAATTAAACTTAAGTGATTGCACTTTTTAGCTAATGAGAAGGTGGTATTTCAATCATTTGTATTTCGAATGTTTACATTTGTTTCTGACTTTTCAGTGACAGTGACAAGGACAGTTCACCAACCATTCAGGAATCGCAGCTGATTTTCATAGAATACAAAGACTGATATTTTTAATTCATTCAATGCAATTTGGTTCACTATAGTAAATCGTTACAATGAGATTTTCTACTTTATTGTCAGTGCAATGCAATCCTGAAGATCATTTCACTGTTATTTACTAAGTCTTTATGTATTTTCTCTACTTTTCACTCTCTGTTCATCGACGTTACTATGGTGTTTTACAAAGCGCAGAAATTAGATAGTTGGAGGCAGTTGGTAGGAAGCCTTGGACTTAGGTTTTGCACTCGTCAGTAAGACGTACTTAGAGTCTTGAAGAAGCTGATGTCCCCCTGAGATCCATCACCGCGTCACCCAGTGTTGCAGGTCGAGACGTTACAGCTGAGCCATTCAAGCTCACAACTGACTTCCTGCAGGACTTAACTGGATGCTTTGATTAAACACTAGGTAGTAACTACTATCATGAGTTTCAAGTTTGTTTGCTACACTTAATACATATTCCTATTCATAAAGTTTGCCCACAGTTCAAAATAAATTCTATTCATCTTTTAAAGCCACTAGTATACAAAAACTTACTAAATACTCTGACTAGTCGACTGAATATCTTTCCACCGGAACTAAATTTAAAAATTCAAAATTTTTAATATACAGGAGAAATAACGTTATTTAGTCTCCTCGTATAATGGTACAAATGTGATAAATACTAATCTCATTACTCTGGAATCAACGGGTTTAGCACTAAGGTGGAAGATACCAAAATGTTTAGTGAAAATTTCAATTCATCAGCACGAAGAACTTGTCTGTCTCCTGTTTAACAACACAGAAAACATCTGTTCACCATGTGGATGTAAACCGATCTCCAGATCGAAAACACTTTCACATAGCTACACTAAATGAGGAAATATTCCATTTGATGAGCTTTTTGTTAGATATTTTCAAATGAAAATAAATCAGCCATGCTCAACTGAGAAAAAATCAAACTTAGATAGTGGTGGACTGTTTATCTTACGGTGGAAATACAAGGTTTCTGTGAACAGTAATAATATCTTGTAACTAACCTAGAATTAAATGCACCTTTATGTGCAGATACAAAGTTGTTCGAAACGTTGACTGAATTCCATTTTTTTATACGCATTAATTCTACTGAATAAAGCGAATTTCATTGAAAAAAAATTCTGCGCATTAAGATTAGCTGTTTATGAGATGGAAACCTGATTCTGAGAATGTGTTCATTTTCAGGAAAGACTTTATTTACCATAATAGAAAGTTGATCATGCACGAGGCAAACAGTAATGTTCGTGTAACGTATGCGTAAACTGCTTTAAATAAGCTGACAGAGACTTAAACTGAGGTGTTCTGTGGCGCCATTTTAGGAGAGTTACTCAGAGAATTATAGAAAATACGTGTTTTTGCTAAATATCAACTTCTTTTCTCACACATTGAATCCGAACCTGTTTCTCTTTTTAAGCTATTGGTCTAACGAATGGTTCAAACGTGTTAGAAGAAAAAAGTTGGTTGTACTATATTTACACCATCGCCTTAAAACCAAATAAGCTAGAAAATAAACGTAGGATTGTTTCGTCGCTGGTATATATTACTAGGAATATTTTGCTTTCTCTTCAGCTTCAAAACATGCAACTAACATCTTATCACAATAAATGGTCTAACTTTATTATTCAGTATCACCTATTTAGGTTACAAGATTATATATATGCCTACAAAATTTAAGATGCTTAAAGTAAGGAATAAAAACTAATCACCATGCTCTTTGGTTTTTTGTTGCAGTCTGTTTATATCTCACGAGTGGCATCTATAAAATGTGACGTATAAGCTTTATAATTTCGGTAATCTAATAAAGTTACAACAGGGAAGATAAAATATGGGGAAAAATGCTATATTTTCATGTGTTTATGATAAGCCATGCATAACTTGCGACGTGATAGTCCGAAAGCAATTCTGCTTAACTGATTAAAACTGGTCACTAACATTTTCTCAAAAAAATGGTTACTAAACAAAGAATATTCTTTTCGATTAATTCATCATCAGGTTCTACAGTTTTATATACATTATAGTGAATGAATGAATCAGTGTTATTAACAACATTAATATTTAAATACCATCAAATCAATAATATCAATAGACTACAGGGCAATAGCATCAACATAACAATACACCGAATACCAGAAAATTATGAGAAATATTAGTACAAATCCATGAATTTATAGTCTCCACTGAAGGCCAGGGGAGTAGCAGTGACTGGATGTGCTTCATGTGCTTCTTTTCCAAGAAGCAAAGCACTGGTTGTTTCACGTGAATTGCGATAGCCTCTGTTGTCTGAAGCATGGGGTACCTCGACGTGTTTTGCAATTTATTTGGTACCTAGTAGATGATGGAGAAGGAATTTTCAATTCTGGCATTGTGGCCCATTTGAACCAGACGACGACTTTTACCACATTTTTATTTAGCCACACTGGTAGATGATCATGGGCGCGAAATACTAGTTCCTTGAGCAACGGCCAAAATAACTCGCTCCGCAAGCGCAGCTGAATTTGTGGATACAACCGAAATTGACTAGTCTAGGTACTTCATCTTTCATTATAGATAAGATTTTATTTTGATAAATCGCACAGTGTTTACAATAATGTTTACTGATGACGTTTCGAGCACAATTTATTGCTCATAATCATATCAAGGTAATCACACGACTTCCTAAATTCATTTATATAGTTCCATTGTATTTCTCTTGATTTTCACTTGATTTGATTGGTAATAGTATTTTCCATATTTCAGGTATGAGTGACGAGTCATTCCTATTGCATGTGTTGGGTGTAGACTCGATGAACAAGGATTCAGTAATCAACCTCTCTCTCCACCTACATAGATTACTTTTTAGAATTTTAACCCTCTCCCACCCTATTGTGTGGTTGTGTGTTAACGCATGCATTGCGATTGCTGAGTTTTTCTCTAAATTATTTATCTTTCCAGGGTCAACCATTCTTACCATAGCTAAATTTTTATGTTCCGACAATCCGACTACCCTTGACCTACTAGTTTGACCTATTTATTTGACCTAACTCACAGTCATTGCAGGGTATTTTGTAAATAATATTATTTTGTCTAATTGGGTCAACTGGGTCCTTTAACCTACACAGCCTGTCCCTGAGTGAGTTTGTAGGTTTAAATGCCACCCTAATTCCTATTTTATTCAGAATCCTACGTA